CTTCCTTGGTTAAATTTATTCCTAAGTATTTTGTTATTTTTGATGCTATTGCAATTTGGATAGTTTTCTTTATTTCTTTTTCTAATGCTTTATCATTAGTATAAAAGAATCCCCACTGGTTTCTGTAAGTTCGTTTTATAACCTGCCCCTTTCCTGAAATCACTGATTAATTTCAACAGTTTTTTTCGATTGACTCTTTGGGATTTTCTATATGTAAGATGATATCATTTGTAAACAGAGAAAATCTTACTTCTTTCTTCCTGATTTGGGTGTTGTTTGTTTCTTTGCCTTGCCTCATTGCTCTAGTTAGGACTTTTCCAATACTATCCTGAATAGAATGATGAGAGTGGGCAACCTTGCCTTGCTTGTGATCTCAGAGGAAACACTTTCAAGTTTTCTCCAATGAGTATAATGTTACCTGTGGGTTTGTTGTATGTGGATTTTTTAATGTTGAGATATATTCCTTCTATACCCAATCTGCTGAGGATTTTACCATAAAAGAATGTTATATTTTGACAAATGCTTTTTCTGTGTGTACTGAGATTAAGTAATTTTTTATCTTTCATTTTACTGATGTGACGAATTACATTTATTGATTTGTATGTGTTGAACTTTCCTTGTATCCCAGGGATAAATCCCTCTTCGCCATGGTGTTTTCTCCTTTTAGTGTATTCTTGAGTTTTGTTTGTTAATATTTTGTTGAGAATCTTTGCACCTGTATTCATCGGGGATATTTTTCTATAGTTTTCTCTTCTTGTGGTGTCTTTATCATCTGGTTTGGTATCAAGGTAATGCTGGTTTCTGGATGATCTATCCATTGCTGATAGTGTGGTCTACTATTATTGCATTGTCTGTTTCTCCTTTAAGATCTGATAGTGTTTGCTTACTATATTTTGATGCGAAGATCTTGGGAGAATGTATATTTATTATTGTTATATCTTCTTGGTGTATTGACCCCTTTGTCATTATATAATGACCTTCTTTGTCTCTTGTTATATTTTTTGGCTTAAAGCCTACTATGTCTGATATAAGTATGGTTATATCTGTTTTCCTTTAGTTACCATTTGCTTAGAGTATCAATTTCTACCCCTTCACTTTGAATCTATGTTTGTCTTTGGAGCTGAGATGAGTCTCCTGAAGGCAGCATTTGGTTGGGTCTTGTTTTTTAATCTATCTAGACATTCGGTGCCTTTTGATTGGTGAGTTCATCCATTTATATTGACAGTGATTATTGGTATATGGAGACTTACTACTACCATTTTGTCTTTTAGTTTCTGGTTGTTTTGTATCTCTATTGTTTCTTTTTCTTTGTTTCTGTTTACATTTTAGGTTGGCGACTTGCTATGATAATTTTCTCAGTTTCCCCTTTTTTGTGGTTTTGTGTCTTTGCTCTAGATTTTTGTTTTGTGGTTACCATGAACTTTATGTAAAATGTCTCATAGATAAAATAGTCCATTTTATGCTGATAACAACTAATCTTCATTTGTCTATACAAGTTCTGTCATTTTCCTTCTCCCATTTTTATATTTTTGTTGTCACAAATTATCTCTTTTTATGCTATATGTTTACTACTAAATTGTTGGCATGTACAGGTTTTTTTTTTTTTTAACGTTTTTATCCTTTAACCTTTGTGTTATAGTTTAACACCCTATTCTGAAATAGAAGTACAATTTTGTGTACAATTTTGTGATTCTGTTTATCACCTTACTTGAAAATCTGGGTACTTCTGTCTTTTTGTTTAAGGCAGAAGAGCTCCTTTCAACATGTCCTGTAAGGCAGGTCTAGTGGTGGTAGACTCATTCAGCTTTTGTTTGGGAAATCTTTTATTTCTCCTTCATGCCTGAAGGATAACATTGCTGGATAGTTTTCTTGCCTAAGATTTTTATATTTCAATAAATATATGGAGTAATCATTCCATTCTCTTCTGGCCTGTAGATTTTCGGCAGAGAAATCTGCTCATAGTTTAATGGGAGTTATTTTGTAGGTTAGTCTCTTTTTCCTGAGCTGCCTTTAAGATTCTTTCCTTATCCTTGACTTTTGACAGCTTCACTATAATGTGTCTCAAAGTTTTTTTACATTGAGACAGTAAGGTGATTTATTAGCTTCGTGGACTTTTATGTCTAGTTCTTTCCCCAGCTTTGGGAAGTTCTCAGCTCTTATTTTTTAACTGCCTCTCTGCCCCCTTCTTCTCTTTTCCTTATGGTATACCCATTATTTTTGATGGCTCTCTTAAAGCAGTCTGATAGCTCTCATAGGATTTCTTCACTTTGTAAAAGTCATTTTAAAAATAGAAGTTCTCTTCTCCTCCATATGAATCATTTCCAGATTCCTACCTTCCAGATCACATATTCTCTCTTCCATCTGATCTGTTGTGTTTACAGTGCTTTGTAATGCATTCCTCATCCCATTTGCCGGGTTGTTCAGCCCCAGAATGTCTGTTTGGTCCTTTTTTAGAATTTCAGTCTCCCTTAGTTCTGACACTTTATCCTTGGTTCTACCACCTCCATGAAGTCCGATCCACTCACCCTGAGTTATACGGATGGATCACTCCAGCATCCTGGTGTGCTGTGCAGAAGAAACCTTGTCGGTTTATGGATGCCCTACTGGTTATACATTGAAGGAGAGACACAAAGGGAACAACTCACACCACCATAATCCTCAACTCTTTGTTTCTTGAAACACAAAATGAATACAACTGAACATCACATCTTTCTAATTCTTTCCATCTGGTCTCTCAGAGCAGAGTGGGGACAAAGGGGGTGAGGTGAGTAGAACGACCTAGGTTTTTGCTACAACACAATTTTGTTTATTTTATTGGAGAATCACTGAAGCACTTGTTCACTCTTTTTTAAAATTGTTTTTTCATGTTTATTTGTTTATTTTGAGAGAGAGAGAGAGAGAACAGGAAAGGGGCAGACAGAGAGGGAGAGAATCCTAAGTAGTCTGCCTGCTATCAGCACAGAACCTGATGTGGGGCTCGATCCCCTTGAACAGTGAGATTGTGACCTGAGCTGAAACCAATAGTTAGACGCTCAACCGACTGAGCTACCCAGGTGCCCCAGCATTTGTTCACTTTTAAGAATTCTCTGAAATATCTAAGCAGGGATGATCTATGACCAATGCTCACTGCCTATGGCCTCATACTCAAAACTGCCCTGCACTTAGTGTTTAAGCCTCTGCATTAAAAGTCATGAGATTCTTAATAATTTTATCTTTAAATTTATGTTTTGGAAATTAAGTCTGAGGAGGCAAGGGGCATGTATGTTTGAGGCTGGGGAGCCTCAGTTCATAAGTGGTCCCTCCAACTTCCTACTTCTCCGACATAGATTCTCAGCCATCTGCTCCTGACGCCCTGGCCCCTACCTGGCCTCCGGCTCCCTGTTCCTGACCCTGTCCCTGTCCCATCATTGCTACTGTTCTCTACCTGGTGTGGTGACTGGGTGTGTCAACATCCTGTATTCTGCTTTGTGGATGCAGACAAGGAGAGGATCAGGGTGCAGCATGTGCCCTGCCGGCATCTTTGGGTGAGGCAAAAATGAGGCCATCCTTAACCAGGGTGGTAGCATCATGGTGCGCTGAGTGGGTGACACAGTGGGGCCTCTTGCCCACCTCCAATTCAGGTATCAAGTACGTCATGTGGGCATGGAGGTTGAAGTCTCTTGAGGGTCTCCTGTCTACCATCATTTAGGACCCTGGACTATGGGAAGGGAGATTGATTTCCTCACTCCCTGCTGGGGCACCACACTTTGATTTTGCACTGGGAACTCCACAAATTATGTAGCTGGCCTTGTCTCTACTATCTCTTGCCTCTCTTTGTTATAAATGCAAAGACCGAACTTTGTTAAATATGAATTGAGCAGATGTGTAAAGTGTCTGTCATAACCAGAGGGCAAGACCACTGCCTTAGCAAGAAATAACACAAAGATTAAGTATGAGATGATAATGTCTTAAAATCTAGTTAAAAGATGTATATTTTACTCATAATCAAGTCTAAAAGAGTAATTAGCAAATTAACAAGTTAGAGTCTTATTTTGTCTTATGTTGTGAATAATAATAATAAAAATAAAATAGTTCCCCAATATTTCCTGGAGACATCAGTATAGGTTAAAGTTGTATGAACTATAGGTTGCTAAATCAAATACAGATGTGCAAAGTAGGTATTTTTCTCAAAGTCCAAATAAAGTAAAGTTTATTAAGAAGAACATGGCTTCAGTGAAATTAGAGAATTTGAATTAAAATATCATAGTGAGTACCAGAAGTATTTAAAGCATACTAACAATGATCATGATAACTGATTCCGTGGTCTTGAATATCCTTGTATTACTGTTTAGCTATGACATAAATAATACTCTCTTTAATAAGCTGGTTGCCATTTCCTACCTCCAAATCACAGAAAATATTAGCATGCAATGTGTCACATTAGCTACTTAAAAAAAATATTACAGACATCTTAAACCTCTGAGTAACTGGATTGCATTTTAGTTTTATGACTTCATGTTTTGTAAGGCTCACACTAATCAAGTTGGGTTGATATTGCTGCTGTACAGCTGGGAAAAGCCAATAAGTTGTGATCCCTTAAAAACCTTCCTTTCGTTTGGTGCATCAGGGTGGTCATCAGGGCCTACATTCTTGGGATCCCTCTTTGTTTCACTGAGTGATGACTTGGCAGTGATTATAGAAAATAACCAGTTCACACAGGAGTGGGTGACCATATCCACCTGTCCAGAGACCTGAGGAACAATTCACGCTCAGCCTGTAGCCCTTGCCTGTCAGCCCAACTGCAAAGAGAACAGTGCTGCCTCCCTCGGCTTCCCAAACATTCCAAACACCTTTTGAGAAGTCATGGATTCAAAACTATGCTTGATGTCCATCTTATCTCAGGTGTTCTTGGGTGCAGACACCATGGTGGACACACAGTGGGGTTTAACTTTGACCTCCACACCCCATGGCCTTGGTCCCAACATTGACCAGAGTGCTGTAATTAGCTTATGTTCTCTTAGGTGCCTCACTCCTGATGCAGAAGCCCGCCCAGATATCGTAGAAGTCAGCTCGATGATATCAGATGTCATGATGAAGTATTTAGACAACTTATCTACATCCCAGCTGGCTTTGGAGAAGAAGCTGGAACGGGAGCGGAAGCGCACGCAGAGGTACTTTATGGAAGCCAATCGGAATGCTGTCACATGTCACCAGGAGCTGGCTCTGTTATCTCATGTAAGTGCAGATCTTTCAGTCTCTTCGTGATAAACTCTAATAAGGATGTCTGAAGTTGTTCAGACTTGTCTTACTGGAAGGTTATCTTAAGTTAGGAAAATATTAATTGCTACACGCAGTGTTTCACTATTATATAGTTACATATTTGCATCCTTTTCTAGATCTTACACTTATAGTTAAAATAAGTCAATATAAATTATTTTCCAAAGAAATACACCTAATTAGAGGCATCTCTTAGCAATTCTTTAAGTTTATATTATGCTCTTTGTATAGGTAGCAGTGAATGCATGTATTTTATTTCTTTAGCAATCTGATTTGGGGAAGATGGATGAAAATGTTGTGTGTTAATTCAGAGAAGGAAATAACAATTGCCTTAAAATTTTGTCTTATTAGTGTAATTGCTTTCATTACTGTTTGTGGTGGTAATAATGTTGCCATGCTTCAAATCAGAATATATCCTTTTATCTTTCTTGCCAGTAACCTTTAAATTATTTTGATATTTAAGTTTATTTCTAAGCATAGCTTGAAAAAGGGAAAAGCCACAGATGTCCACATGTGCAAGTGACCAGTGATGCTCTTGTTGCTGTCTCTTGCTTTCCCGTAGCTTTTGTTGCATTGTGACCCGTGATCTGTCCTTTGCTCGTGCTCTGGGCTCCCCGCAAGCAGGGATCTCGTAAGGGACCCTGCAGCCTGGTAGATGTTCTTTCCTTCCCTCTTGGGCATGAGGCCCAAGAAAAGAGGGTCATAATAACATTCTTGATCAGAGTACTTATTCATTGAATTCCTTTCCAGGGCCCTAAAGAACTGTTCTGCCTCAGCTGGGAAAATTATATAAAAAGTTGATTTCAGAGAAGATACAACTGGGTTTCTTTTCTTTTCTTTTCTTTTCTTTTCTTTCCTTTTCTTTTCTTTTCTTTTCTTTTCTTTTCTTTTCTTTTCTTTTCCTTTCCTTTCCTTTCCTTTCCTTTCCTTTCCTTTCCTTTCCTTTCCTTTCTTTCCTTTTTTTTTCTGATTTCTTGAATAACAGAGTTTCCATCAAACTACTTTCTATTAAAAGCAAAGCACTAATGTTTGGTGTGTTTGTCTTGACATACTTGGAATCTAGTAGTTGAAGGTTCAATATAGTTTTCTTTTGGGGGGAAAAGCTCATTTTTATTGCCTTGCTGAGTCCAGCTGTAATTTCACAGAACAATCCATGGTGATTATCTAAGGCCTTGGTTTATGTTTAGGAGCATATAACTTGGAGTTATAGCTCTTGCTGAACACAGTTAAATCTTATATACAGTGAGTTAGACCTCACTTTTCTTGTTATTTTACTACCTGACTTTGTAAAAAGTAGGCAACAATGAGAAACACACCATTCTAAGGATGTCATGTTGCATTCAGAGTATAGTGTTCCCAGTAAACGAAAATGTGAGAGATTTGGCCATTTCTATATATCTTAAGTATTTGAGGCCTTCTATTAAGTTCTGCACTGCAAAGCTACTTAGCCAATTTCCAGTTGGACATAAAAGAGTCATTTTATATTAGATTCGTGTAGCTGATGTGGAGGTAGGTGGAGTTAGTTTAAAATCTAACAGCAAAAATCCTCTTATCTTTAGCAGAACACCTTGAGAATGACTGTTTTATTTATTTACTTTTTCTCCTTGGCTTTTTTTTTTTTTTCAAACTCTTAGTATGGAAAATTTCATACGTTTACTGAAGTAAAGATAGCACTTTGTGTAGCAGCCCTCCAGCTTCAAGAGTTTGCTGCTTTGAGCCAATGACATATTGTCTTCATGCCCACCCCACTGCCCACTCCCTGCCATCCCTAGGTTATTCTGAAACAAACCCAAGACACCGTATCATCTCATCTATCAATATTTCAGTATGTATTTGGAAGGCCATTTTAACTGTAGAAATCTAGCTCTCCGGCCATAACCAGGTTAAACAAAGGGAGTGATCTATTATCGGCGAGGGAGTTTTGAGGTTCTAGAGGTTCTGTACGCATCCATAAAGAGGGGGAAAATATTACCTATTGCAGAAGGCACTAGGATCAAATAAGTTAATGTGTTTGAATGAACTATGCAAATTAAAAAGTGGCACAAAATTATATAAAATGAACAGTGAGTATGTAAAAAAAAAAGTTTTTGATGCAACTTGCTCATTTAGTCCATTAGTACTAAATCTGTGTGTGGTTTTCATGCAGTTAATATATATCTATTGAGCGCATGCTACTAGCCAGCTTCAACGTCCTCATGGAGCATTCAGTCTCTTAGGGACTGTGGAGAAGTGCTTTACTTGTAGGCAAAGTTGATATTACTACTTTAAAAAAACCATAAAATATCTTCTCCTTTTGCACTATTTTATGCACATTGATAAGTTTTCATTTCTGGATTGATTGAAGGTTAACTAAAACGAGAAATGCAGCTTTATTAAAGAACTGAGAAGGAAATATGATTATATTTCATCAAAAGACAGCATGCAGCTAATTGGCATTATCCTCGCTAAGTACCAATTGTTATTTTTAAAAAACTTACATCCACACCATTGCTGATGGGAAAATTATAGGTATCGAATTTTATGTCTCTTTTTTTCTTAAGTATTGTTATAGATTATGATCGTTTCATTTCAAATGTAGTGGAATGCCTCCCAGAGCAGTTAGTATCAGTAATATAATTACACAATCCAATGATAAGCAATAGTCAAAGGAAAGAGAAATCAGTGGGTGTGGTAGAACTTCATGAGTTTTCAACACTGATAAGGAGATCCATTATGAATTGCTGGATTTTGCAAATTAGTGGGTAAGCAAACAATTGATAAGAAACATTAAGGGCTCTTATGTCATGGGGTGTATGCTACTTACTTTTCCACACATTAGCTCGTTCTTAATTATGGCAATTTTCATAATAGGCTGGTAAAGACGAGTATTAATATATATATTTCAAAAGGACAGAGAAGTCTTCACTAATAAAGTCCACCCCTGTGTACTGTGGTTTAGACCCTGTGAAAGAGAAGCAATATTTTCTTTTTGAAGAATAAGCTTTCTAATTTTTAGAATTCAAAATAACAGGTCACAAGGAGAGCACAGGGTCAAGAACAATAAGAATCAAGCAGAGAAAAATGAGGTGTAACTTTTACTTAAATATGTAATAAAAGCTATCGTACTACAGAGCATACTGTGGCATTGTAGTAGTCAAAATCATGATTGGTGTTTCGGCATTGTGCACAACGTGTTAAACACGCAGAATAGCTGCCCTTTGGGCGTTGTCTTATGTCACAGGCAGAAAAATTGGTTGCAGGCATTTGTAAACAGTGCAGTGCTTAGATCTTCACCAGCAAATGCGAGGATGAGGGTTAAAACCCAGCCTACAATAATCTGGATAATCAATAGAAAATTTCAGTTTCACTCAGATTATTGGGATTTTGTGGCTACAGCTTTAGACTAATGTTAACATTGGTAAATAAAGTGTATTTCTATGTGTACAAGTGGAGCAGAGCTGAACGTACCAGGGGGACCGAAGGGTAATCATGAAAGAAACATGTTTTTAAAGGGTAAGTTTTGCAGGGATTCACCACTCCTCTTCCAGTGATATTTGTCAGGTACTTTTATCTTCATGATCTCTGTTTTATAGCTAAACGATTTTTTTACTAGTATGGTAAGTTCATTCAGTCTGGATAACTATTTTCGTATCCATAAATGCAACAGGGAACAATACAAAAAGAGAAAAATTGAAAGTGCTTACAGTTTATAATTAATAATAGAAGAACATGGGGTCCCCAGGTGGCTCAGTTGGTTAAGCGTCTGACTTCAGCTCAGGTCATGATCTCACGGTTCATGGGTTTGAGCCCAGCATTGGGCTCTGTGCTGACAGCTCAGAGCCTGAAGCCTGCTCCGGATTCTGTGTCTCCCTCTCTCTCTGCCCCTCCCCTGCTTGTGTTCTCTCTCTCTCTCTCTCTCTCTCTCTCTCTCTCTCTCAAAAATAAATAAACTTTTTTAAAAATTTAACAAAACAGTGGAAGAACAAAGATCTGTTGAATGTCTTCTGAATGTAAGACATTGTGCTTGGTACTGTGAAGGTTATAAATAATTATAAGGAGTGGTCCCCGTTGTGAAATGACTTATACAGTCTACCTGGGAAGCCAAGACACATACACAACTTGGGTAAATATCAAATGGAGGAAATTTGGGTAAATATCAAATGAGATCTATGGCTGATATAGTTCAGGGAGACTCCAAAGCAAGCAGGGTAAGTTTGGGCCTTGAAAAGTAGGTAAGAAGTCACTCCTGGATGGAAAAGAATAGCAAAAGTACATGAACTCCGGATATACCAGCTTGGTTTACTTAGGACTACTAATCACATTTTAGAAATGGTATTTGTTTTTAGTATTTTTTTTTCATTTTTTTTTAACGTTTATTTATTTTTGAGACAGACAGAGACAGCATGAGTGAGGGAGGGGCAGACAGAGAGGGAGACACAGAATCTGAAACAGGCTCCAGGCTCCGAGTTGTAAGCACAGAGTCCGACGTGGGGCTCAAACTCAAGGACCATGAGGTCATGACCTGAGCTGAAGTCAGAGGCCCAACCGACTGAACCACCCAAGCGCCCCTTTAGTATTTTTTAGTGTTTGTTTATTTTTGAGAGAGAGGGAAAGACCATGAGACAGGGAGGGACAGAGAGCGAGGGAGACACAGAATCTGAAGCAGGCTCCAGGCTCTGAGCTGTCAGCACAGAGCCTGATGTGGGGCTGAAACTCACCAACAATGAGATCATGATCTGAGCCAAAGTCCGATACTTAACCGACTGAGCTACCGAGGTGCCCCAGAAATAGAACTGTTTTATGCTAGAAAAGAGAAACCAAGAGAAGAGGCTTGCCCAAGGTCACCAAGCTAGTGTGCCAGTTTGTCCTAGCACTGAAAGTTGGATCTCCTGATTTATAGTGCATATTTTGATATGTCTACTTTGCAAAGTCTGGGAAAGCAAACTGGTGCTAAATGGCAGCAGTTTGTGAATACCTAG